AGTCTTTTCTGTTTTATCCTAAACAGTGAAGATCCATGTATACATGCTAATTTTGATACGTTAATGCATAATAAATTTCGTATTGAGAAATATATATTCTCTTATTAGTCTTCTCTTTCAATATAAAACGAACTGCACCACACTTGTCAGACACGACGTCTGGGTGTGAACTTAAGCTGTGTATAAACACAGTCCTCTGTTTCTGTGGAACAGTGTAAACATACTGTATGTGATGTCCCCACATCGGCACCAAATGTCCCATATTTACGCTACATTGCAATCACATTTTCTCATGCACAGTATAGTTTATAAAGGGATTATGATCAGAAGACAAACTTCTCCGAGTGCAACCTACTGTCTTTTTAACTGTCCAAAAGTATGTGGACACCTGGGCTCACCCTCTCAGTGGCTCCACACTGGCAGTGTCCTCACCTGCCCGTGAAGGACTTGCTGCTCTTCGAGGCACTGTGAGAAGGTGAGCTGCTGGCACTTCTGCTCAGATCCTCCACTGACTTGTCCATAGGTCTGCCTTTGTTTGTGGGCAGCGAGTCACTGTCCGCAGCGTCCGCATCATACCTGTGAGTTCATGTGGGAAGAAACAGAGTTCACCCTCATACAGATGTAGCCCGTGGTGGAATTCATGAGATTTCATGATACGGTGACAGAAAGTGGTTGTGTGAAGGAGATAAGATACATATTTGAGCCCTGACTGTTCCAGAAGTGTAAAATTTTAGTCAGATACCTACGTGGCAGCGCTATGGGCAAAGGACAGATAATCCACCAGAACATTTAAGCCTTGGTTTTCATTGCTGAGGAACTCCTGAGCCCAGCTAGAAGCAGAAAGTAGCAGTAAATAGTACACTTTCAATAACAGTAACAGTTTCAAAATTACCCAGATTTAAAAAACAGATTTCCTTCACAATCTACAATGCTTCAGTTAAACAACTTTGTTTGAACATCAGTGAATATTTTCAACTACACTGTTCCGTAATTACACAAACAGGTTTAGGTTGGCGGGATTATTATTCTGCTGTGATTTAACAACAGTTTGAAGTAGACATAGTTTTTCTTTCCCAAGTGGGACTTAAAGTGAGACTCACCCGATGTGATTGGTCCTCAGGGAGATCTCCAGCTCTCTTAGGACCTGCGTGGACTCCTGCACACGTCTCTTAAACTGACAACACACCAGGCAGTAAACACACAAGATCTCGGGGTATAATTAATTGCCTCGGTAAAAAGAAAAACTTCCTATTACTGCATGGTTACACAGATGTTCTCTGTGCTCATTTGATCATTTAACACATCATGTTTTTAGCTTTCATGTAAGTTACAGGTTTACATCTGTAAAGTATTTTTAAAACCACTATATAGATTTCAGTGCTGGGTGGGGTTAATGAGGAATGATCCAGATTTCAGGGCACAGGCTGGATACTCGCATGATTCATGTATTTTTCAACTTCTGTATTGTGTTTTGTTACTTAGCACAACGACGAACTGGTTCAGCTACAAACGGCATGTTCAGAATGGCGGTAAATGTACATACAAACGTACGTACAACCACGCAAACACATTCCTGGTTCATACTGAATCATAGCACTAAAGATTCATTCACATCAATAAGAAATGAGGCTTCACAGTGCAAAGACAAAGAGCAGCAACAAGAGGAAGGGACCAAACAACTGCACAATAGATGTAACAGCTTGTTGTTTTATTTTGTTTTGTTTTGGGTTAATTTTACTCCCAAAACTGATTCTTATAGACCTTTGCACATAATATAGATAGACAAATATAGATACTACAGTGAGAGGGGAAACCACAGTATCAACTACAAAAACCTAATAAGTAACGCATGTACAGTGGGTACGGAAAGTATTCAGACCCCCTTAAATTTTTCACTCTTTGTTATATTGCAGCCATATGCTAAAATCATTTAAGTGTCATGATTCGGTTCCGCTGTTTCCGGTCAGGCTTTTATTTTCACATCACTTCCTGTTTTGTTTCACCTCAGTTTTGGCCCTTTTATTTAATCATCATTAGTTCACCTGTTCCTTATTGTTTGCACCTGTTTTTTGTCTCCTTTTAGGCAGCGTCCTGTGGGAGGACGCTGCCAGATTGTTCTAGACCCCAGCTCTGACTTTCCAGCATTCTTATCTTGCCTGATTCTCCGTGTCTGACCTC